TAGTGATATTAAAGAATACATTTTTCTTTTAAAGGTGTGACAATGGTATTGTAGTTACGTTAAAAGCAAATCATGTTTTAGGGAAACACATGGAAGTGTTTACAGATGAAATGGTATGCCTGGGATTCAAAATCATCTGGGAAGTAAGGGTACAGGTGCAAAACGAGACAGGGTCTGAGTTGATTAATTGTAGAAGCTGGCTGATGGGCACACACAGGTTCCTTATTTTCTCTACTTTTGTAAATATTTGAAATGTTCCTCAATTTTTTAAAAAAATGCATGATAAAAAGACTGGAGGTGGGAACGATGATACTAATGGTATCTGGGAAAGACAACCATAAATGATTTTTTTCCATTCTACTTTTTCTATTTTTCACATTTCATATTTTTACAAAAGAAAATATAAAATAAGCTATTTAAAGAAAACCATGTACTCCTTGAATCCTGATCTTGGACTCTGAATATTCCTTATCTTCTATACATAGTAGAACAAGATCACCCATAATCTAGTGAGACCCAAACATCATGACAAAAGCATCTCCCATCTTTCTACTGGTTAACTACCACAGACACCCTTTTAGAAAGCCCACTTTGTAAGGACAAGTAGGGTCTTCAAATATACACAAGCTAAGAGCATAAACATGAAACAGATTAGAGACCAACTGAACAACAATAGCCAATAACACAGTTCCCCTTGATTGTTAGGCAGGATTTTGGGTTAAAGATCCAGAATGTGTAAAGCCAACCTTCCTAATGGTTGGATGTGTCGCAGGACAGGGATCTCCTCAGCCTTTGCTGCTGCCAGAGCTCTCAGGTTACCTTCTGTGGGTCACCTCCAGTTTTCCCCCGTGATAGAACAATTATTTTAATGTGTCCCATGGTATGAAAAAGTTTGGGAAGCACTGGTTTAAGCTATACAGACCTGGATAATTACTCAAAAGCTGAATAAACACATAATGAAGGGCAAAAGTACAAGGGAATTTCTTTCAAATGCTGGTATGGAAAAAGGACTAATACCCATGTTACAGGTGTATATATAACCTTATATATTTTTTTCTATCTGCACCCCCTTCCATGCTCTACTTAGGCTATCTTAAGTTATATTCTAACACCACTCCATTAGGTAACTTCCATATATAAACGTTAGCCCAGGTAACATAAGGTTAAATTCTTGGGACAAGAGCAAATCCTGATTCTCTGTGCCAATGGTAAATGCAATTGAGACAAGTCTGAAATAATGTGCTAGAGATGATATTGCACTTATTAAAGTCAAAGGAGAAGTACTTAAGTGTCAGTGTAAAATCTTCACAGAACAGAAGCTTACTAAGAATCTTCTTGTAAAAGACAAGAAACTGAAGCCCAAATTACTTGCTTATAGTCACAAACAGCAGAACTGGTACTAGCACCCAGATCAACTGGCTCCTAACTACTGTACTTTCCAGGGTACCTCCAGGATGTTCCTGCTAATGTCCAAATACTTCCTGCTTGTTATGGATTGAACTGTGTCCTCCCAAAATATGTGGAAACTTGGCTAGGCCATGATTCTTAGTACTGTGGGGTTGTCCTCCATTCTGTGATCTGATTATCCTCCAGTCTGTGATGTGTTGTAAATCCTAGCCTCTACGCTTCTGGTTACAGTCTCATTTCGAGTGAGCTGCCCATTATGTTAATGAGGCAGGATTAGGTCATGCTAATGGGGATTACGGCAGTATACAATATCCAGAGGTGTGGCCTGCATCACCTTTTATCTTACAAGAGATAAAAGAAGACAAAAGCAAGTGGAGAAAGGGACCTGACTAACACCAAGAAAGATGAGCCGGGAGCAAAGTGCATCCTTTGGACCCAGGGTCCCGGCGCCGAGAACCTCCTAGACCCAGGGGAAGATTGATACCAAGACACATGAAGATCTCTAAGGAATGCCAAGCCCACAGACATTGAAAGGAGGACTTTCCCCCGGGACTGACAGAGAGAGAAAGCCTTCCCCTAGAGCTGGCATACCAAATTAGGACTTCTAGCCTCCTAACTGTGAGAGAATAACTTTGTTTGCTAAAGCCATCCACTTGTGGTATTTATCTTATAGCAGCACTAATCTAAGATACTGCTCCTCAAGGAAACAGAATCTCTGGTTAATCTGCAGCTAGCAAATCACTGTTTGAGAAGGCAGAATTTAATGTTCTGTCACTAATTAATCTTAAATTTGTGATACTTAAACACAAGTTCCTTTATTAATCAGTCCTTGTTTATATTTGTGAAATTTCAAGGCAGCCTTTTAGTTCTTGCATAGATTAAGAAATATCCTTAGAAACTAGTTATCAAGTTCTTCTCTATATAGTTATTTTGAGGGCACATATTGCGATATATCAAAATCTATGTAAATAAGCCATGTTTCAACAGAGTTATACTCTGTAAGCATAGATACAGTATAGTGGACTTTCCTTCTTTGTACTGAGACTCCAAACCAGAGGACTCCTCAACCAAAAGAAAACGTAAGATTGGTGCAGAAGTTGGAAAAATTAACTGCCTAAAATAGGATCAACTGAATGAGGAAGGTGAAGGAGGCAGTACAGAGATTAAACAACAACAATAAAAAAAGATATTTGCATACTCAGAGTGCAACTCTACCAGACGCATAGAAGGAACATTAACGGTCTGTAACTTCTGCACCTTTACTGGCTAAAGCTGTACTGTGATACCGAACAAATAAAAATTTAAAATTCTTCAACTTTCTCTCAACCAAGAAACTCCTAAAAGTTCCTTCTCCAGAAAAACAGACAACCAGTGTTTTTATTCTTAGGCACTATAGTGCATGCTTTGGGTGAACCTCAAATCCAAGAACACAAGCTCTGTGTCACTAGCAATGACATCTGAGTTGGTTCCTCATTTTGTTTCTTGCCACAGGCCAGTTCTACAAAAACAGGTGTTATTTACTGAATGCCGTAAGGACAAGTTAAGGTAGAAACAAGTCCTCCTAGCCCCCACACAAAACCATAAAAGTCCTATACCCAAAACAGGTTTGTAATTAATGTAATGGTATGAATTTAAGTCCTGATGCTCAAATTTCAGGGTCTAATATTTGAGAATTATAATTCCTTCCCCCCTCATTAGGATGCAGCCAAGTACAGCCCTTGGAAAAGGGGGTTTCATGTACCTATGTGATGTGCAACTGTTCAGTGAAAGTAGAACCTAGGTCTGGAGTATGTCAGTAAAAGGTAATAATCATTTTAGGAAATAATTTCTCAACTTGTATAGATCTATACCTTACCTGTTAATTTCCAGAAGAAAAACGAAAAAGAGGACAGCAGATGTTTCCCACTCTCCTTTGGAATTCTCTTTATTTATACCGATTACCTGCCTTTTACAGAAACATACACAAATCTTCCTTCCCACTCTCCACAAATGTATTTGCCCTCCCCCATTCTTCACATCAAAAACCGACAGAAATAAGACAATTCAAATTTTCAGACACACCTAACACATCCACTACGTAGTTAAGCCACCTAACAAATATGGGAGTTTACTATGTGCCAGGTGTGGGGATAAAAAAACGATTTAAGTCCTGAAGGGACTCACATGCAGTTCAACACCAGCTGCCAATGGTATCTAATCAATTCAAACTCAAACTACAGAAAGGTGTAGGGAATCAAACACCACTGAACAGGGCATAACCTCATTACTTTCTACCTAGGTTGCAGCATCTTAGATGATTTCCCTGCTACCCAAAGCTCTTTTCAATCTGTCCTGCATTCACATACCAGACTCATTTCTAGAGTTCTACTTTGGAGGAGTCTCCCCTCTGCTCAAAAAGATACCAAAGTTGCCCGCTACGTCACATCTGGTTTACCCTTCTTCCACCGAAAGTCTACAGGCTAGCTCAACTTAACCTTTCAACTTTCTATCATGCCCAAGGTGGCTCCCTCCTGCCAATCCCTTCAGAAGGTGCCTACACCTCCAAACCTAATTCAACCACCTACTCTAACTCCTCAGGCCGCCTCAATTCTAAGCAGCCGTAAAAAACCGTGTCGTCTACCGTCAGCACAGATCCCCTCGTGTTCAGGACATCCCTTCAGAACTCGGCGTTGGCTTCTTAACAAGTGCCAGGTGTGGCCCAAAGTATTTTAACATTCCCATCTCAACCCGACTTTCATCTGCCCTGCCTCCCCTCAGTGAAAGCCAAGGCGGTCGCTTGCAATTTGGGGATGGGAGAGAGGGTTTGGGAGGCTGCAAACTACGAAGGGGAAAAAAAAGGAGCAGAAGGGAGAAGGGAACGCCTGGGTCCTGTACTCTTTTCTTTGGGAGAAGTAGGGTGAGGGTGGATGGAGAGGAGACCCCAAGAAAATAATTCTTGAAGAACGACAGAAGCCCAACGTGCTCTCTGGGAAGGAAATATGGGCCGGGGCCCCGAGAAAACTGAAGGGTCTCCCACCAACCCTAGGAGAGAAAGACAGGTTACGACGTGAAACAAAGAGGCTGGGAGCCGGGGAGATGAGGCTACAAAGATCCGGGCATCTCCGGAGGTCGAAGGGTAAGGAAATGCGAGGGGACACGACGCGTCCCTTAGGGGACGAGCGAGCACCGGGATGCGGTTGCCAGGAGGGACGAGGTAGGTGCCTGAGAAAGCTTCGGGGTGAGCGTCTGTGAGGGATCGTTTCTACGGGGGCGGGGAGGTGTTTCTGAGTAGGATCGTCTCCCGAAGGGAGACACGGTTTCCCAGGACAGTGCTCGCAGAAAACGAAAACGCTGGGCGCGCGGAAAATGTGAAAGCGTTGAGGCACCGGCATTTCCGAGTCGCAGCCGGGTATCCCCACACTCACCGTGTCTCCTCCCGACGCCGTCGCTCCAGCTGCAGCTACCGGCCTGCGCAGCCGCACTGAGCGCGCGCGCGGCCCCACGTGACTCTCCCCATGCTCCGCCCCGTTTCCCACGTGACTCTCCCCATGCTCCGCCCCGTTCCCCACGTAACCACGACGCCCTCCCATCCCCTCCCTCGCTTAACCTCTTCACGTGGTCTGGGTTCGCCCCGCCCCGCTTGACAAGATGGCGGCGCCCACTTGTAGCGTGCCGGGCCTCTGGGTCTGGGGTACGGGCCAGCGTGTGGGGAATCTCTTCCTTCTCGTCTCAAAGCCGTTTTGTACCGCCGCCGCTGCCTCTAGGCCCCTGGATGCCCAGCGATTAGCGGAGAGGCTCCGAGCCCAGAAACAGGAACAAAAGAAGGAGCCGGTGAGTCCAGAAGGGACCACAACGCTCGAGAGACAATACGCTCACTGGTTTTCCCGGCGGGGAGTGAGGTAGGAGGATCCTCTGACAGATGTCAAGTAAATGTGGACGTGTGGTGGGAGAAAGGAGAGAAAGCGGAGGGGGCATGAGAGGTACGGTATCTTCCTGTGGGCTGGGTCTTTGACTCCTGCCGGGCAGGTCTTGAGCATCAAGCAGATACTCCGGTGAGACAGACACGCACGCTGTTCTCAAACTACTCGAGCAAAGAGCGAGTTTAAGGCAAAAATAGTCCTTCCCTACCCAGACTCTCACTCTCTCTTTATTGAAGTCTTTTACCAAGCATTCCCCACCGCGTCTTCTCCCACCCAGGTGCCCACAAACCCTGTTCAGCGGAGGGTGCGAGAACTAGTTCGGTTCACACAGCAGCTGCAGCGAGTCCACCCCAACGTGCTTGCTAAGGCACTGAGCCGAGGGATTCTCCACCAGGACAAGGACCTTGTGGTTATCAATAAGCCCTACGGTGTCCCGGTGCATGGTAAGGACTAGATGGGAAAGGGAGGGGGGCTGCTGCTGCTGCTTTCTGCCATAACTAGGGGCAGCCCGGGTATGTTCCTTGTGGGGCTCTCCCACCCTTGCATTCAGAATTGGTTAAACCTGTATGGAGCAATTGCCTATATAAAGCACTACTGAGAACGCGGATAAATAAGACAGAACCCACTTTCCAAAATCGGTTGTAACTGTTGAATTTCATGCACTGCCCATGGCACTTCAAGACATCCTGGCAGTCAACAGGGATTCATGGAATACTCTGTAGACGCCCTCAGTGAGTGTTATAGAGACTACAAAAGCTGCGTGGCCCTTGTCTTCAGGTGATTTTTTCCATCAAAACTAGGAGAGAGGAAATACTCGATGAGAAAAAACAAATCTGTGGAATATATGCCATAAAACCCCAGTGTCTGGAACTTAATCGACACTCAAATGTTTCTGAATAAATGTTGAATGCAGTTGTCAGAGATAGGTGGGGTGAGTCAGAGAAAGATTGATATTTAAAAATACGTTGGTGAAAGAGTTCTTCAGAGAAAAAAGGCATATCTTAGATAGAAAAGGGGAATGCCTTTTGGGGAGGTATGGAGAAGGTTGAGCATAAAGACAAAGAATTAAATTTTTCTCTTCATCTCCACAACAGCTTCTTGCCTTCACCTACCCCATGAGGTAGTTCTTATCTAGATATTAACATTTTATGGATCAGAAAACTGAAGGTGGGAGAGATTAAGTAATCTGGCTAGCTGGGAGCATACATAGAGCAGAACCAGAAATGTCTAACCACAAAGCTATCCTTTTATCCACTCTTCTCTAATGCTTTAGGAGGGCCTGTGGTCTTGCATTTTTTTACTAGGGTTTACTTCCGAATTCTCAAGCCTCTGCTTGTATAGTGAAATATCAGACCTCCTCATTTCGATTGCTGGTTTTAGGGTGAGTATATGAGTAGATTTTCTTTTAAGTATGTGTAAGGACAGTGCTTCTCAAGCTTTAGTGTGCTTGTGAATCACCTGGGCATCTTGTTATAAAATGCAGGTTCTAATTTAGTAGAGTGGGTCGGGGGCCTGAGACTCTATATTTCTAGCAAGCTTTCTGAGCATACCAATGCTGCTAGTACCTGGATCACACTTCAAGTTGCAAGGCTCTAGAAAACATTAGCAATCCAGAAAGAACTTTTTGTCCCCAAGTACAATTCATTGGTGGGATCTTTTCCTGGCCACTCAAACCGCTGGCTTTTCCCTTAGGTGGCCCTGGCGTCCAGCTCTGCATCAGTGATGTACTGCCCGTCCTGGCAAAGATGCTGCGTGGCCACAAGGCAGAGCCCCTGCATCTGTGTCACCGGCTGGACAAGGAAACTACGGGCGTGATGGTGTTGGCTTGGGAGAAGGAAGTGGCCCATCGAGTCCAGCAGTTGTTTAAAACCCGTCAGGTGGCCAAGAAGTACTGGTATGCGTCCCACAGATGGTGGTAGAGGTGGCATGAACAAAGGCATCCCTTTTCATCTGTTCATCCATTCATCCAGCCGAGTAATAGAAGGCACTGTGCTCGGACCTGTGCGGATATTAAAAGGCTACGAAACAGCTTTGGCACTTAGAATATTACAGTCTGATAGAATAGTGGTTCATGGTTCTTCATTCTGGTTGTACATCAAAATTAATTATACAAGTGATAATATGATTTATACCTGTGTGGATATTAAAAGGCTACGAAACAGCTTTGGCACTTAGAATATTACAGTCTGATAGAATAGTGGTTCATGGTTCTTCATTCTGGTTGTACATCAAAATTAATTATACAAGTGATAATATGATTTATACCTGTGTGGATATTAAAAGGCTACGAAACAGCTTTGGCACTTAGAATATTACAGTCTGATAGAATAGTGGTTCATGGTTCTTCATTCTGGTTGTACATCAAAATTAATTATACAAATGATATGATTTTATTCCTATGGTTAAAAAGCACATAAAGCAAAAGACCCCTGGAGAATTCACCCCTTTCCCCTTCTCGTTCCTTTGAGGTAGCAGCCGCTGTTAGCAGTTTGGTTTTAATTCTTCTGATCCTTACTCAGCGCGTTTACGTGCAAGTCTGTTATGTACAGTGTGTCTGTACATGCGTTTGTTTACAGGCAGTTCCCAGTTTATGAACGTCTGACTTAACATACAACTTGTAGTTATGAACCAACCCCTGTAGAGCCTATTATACTAAAAATTCGAGGTACGTATAATGGTTCGTAATAAAAACGGGTGCTACTTTGCGATGCACATCGAAACATTATTATTACTGTATTATGATGGTAAAGATGTCTTAGTGTATCTGGAAGTGTTTCTTTAATGTTTTTATGCATAGAAAGGCACCCTATATACTACATACTAAGACATTTGACTGACAAGTTAAATATGAACTGTACCTCACTGTTCCGACTTACGTACAAATTCGACTTAAAGACAGGCTTGTGAAAGAATGGAAATTGTTGGTAATCCGGAGTCTGCCTGTATACGTGTCGCATAGTACAATGTACATTGTACTTTCTTTTCCCGCAGCTCTTACGTTCTGAGGATCTTTCCGTGTCAGTACATACAGATCTACTTCAGTTTTTATAGTAGGAAGCAAATACATGAACAAACAAGAAACCGTCTATTTTTGCTCCCCATCCACTCACGTTTCTTCCCCAGAAGCAATCACTGTGAGCAGTGTCTTGTGTAAACTTCCAGAATTATACTGGGTGTGTATAAGCATATTATTGTATGGCACCGTATTTTGCACACTGTTTTGCAACCTGCTTTTCCCAGTTGGACAATACATATTTTGAAGCACTTTGTATTGTTCATTTTAATGGCTCTGTGGTAGTCCATTGTATAGATACATCATAATTTATCTGCCTAGCTCCTTATTGATGGATGTTCAGGTAAACTCCCGTTTCTCATACTACAAAGAGTATGAAAGTGACCTTAGGATAAATCCTTACAAATGGAATGCCTGGGTTGAAGGGCATGCACATTTAAAATTTTAGTGGTTACCACCCAAATTGCTCTCCAAAAAGATTATATCGATTTACTTTCCCACTAGTGTTGAGTGCCCACCTGCCCATATGCCTGACCAATGCATTCTTGCTTGTTGTTGTAAAAATACATAGAGCACAACATTTGCCAATTCAGCATTAATCACGTGCAGCTATCACCCGTAATCATTGCTGTCTGAGTCATCTAGTGCTGCTGTAACAGAAATACCACAAGTGGATGGTTTTAACAAAGAGACGTTTATTTCCTTACAGTAAAGTAGGCTAAAAGTCCAATTCAGGGTGTCAGCTCCAGGGGAAGGCTTTCTCTCTCTCGGGCTTCTCATCACTCTTCCCCCAGACTAGGAGCTTCTCGGAGCAGGGACCCTGGTCCAAAGGACACGCTCTGCTCCCGGCGCTGCTTTCTTGGTGGTATGAGGTCCCCTGGTCTCTCTGCTCACTTCTCTCTTTTATATCTCAAGAGATTGCCTCAGGACACAATCCAATCTTGTAGATCGAGTCCTGCCTTACTAACACAACTGCTGCCCATCCTCTCTCATTAACATCATAGAGGCAGGATTTACAACATACAGGAAAATCACACAGTACCAGGAATCAAGGCCCAGCCAAAGTGATACACACATTTTCTGGGGGGACATAATTCAATCCATGACAATTGTCAAATTTCTTATCACCGTAAACAAATATTCACTGCTTCCTAAACAATGGCTCCTACTTTCCCCTTCCTCCCATCTCTGGTGACCACTAATAAACTTTGGTCTGTGTTATTACAGAGGACTTTTGTTATAGTTACTTGTTTTAAAAGTTTTGCCACTCTGATGGATAAAAGATGATATTTTACTTCCCATTTCCCACGTACTAGTGATATTGGCTGCTTTTTGTGTTTATTGGCCATTTGAATTTCTCTTTCTGGGAATTGACTATTTTGTCTACTGGCTTGTTATTTTCTATTTTTTATTTGTAGATGTTTATTTTATATTTTGGATACTAGTTCTATTTGCATTACAGATTTTACAGGTATTTTGTTATCTGGGGAACTTTTGAAAAATCTGTATGCTTAAGACCCGTCCACAGAGGTTCTGCTTCATAAATCTGGTGAAGAGTATAGGGGTTGGGCATCTATATTTTTAAAAAGCTCCACAAATGATTCTGAAGTACAATCAAGCCTAAGAACCACTATAAGTAGAGATGTAGGACACTAGATGAAGTTTAGCATACTAGCTAAGAGCCCAACTAGATCTGCGTTCAACTCTCAGCTATACCATTTACCAACTGTGGGACCTTGGACAAGTTATTGAACTTCTCTAAGCTTCATTTTCTTCCTGTGAAAAATGGGAGTAATAGGGTTGATCCCAAAACCAAACCCAGTGCTATCAAGTTGATTCCGACTCATAGCAACCCTATACGACAGAGTAGAGCTGCCCCGTGGGGTTTCTAACGCTGTAAATCTTTATGAAAGCAAACTGCCGCATCTTTCTCCCATGGAGCGGGCTGATGGGTTCGAACCGCTGACCGTCCAGTTTGCAGCCAAGCGCTTTAACCGCTGTGCAACCAGCGCTCCTTAATAGGGTTGATGGAGTTAAATGAGATAATGCATGAGACATGTTCAACACAGTACCTGGCTCACAGTAAGAGCTCAAGAAATAAAAAAAAGAAATTATTACTATGTTCACAAGTAATCAAAGTGTAAGACTAGAAAAGTGAAGTGTTATCTTTGGGGAAATTGTGCGTGAAAGTTTGGCATTGGTAACCATTCTCATTATCGGGCTTTGTGGGGGAGTTGCCGTCATTGACCGCATCTGGGTGAGTGAGTGGGATCTGATGGGGAGATGAGGAAATGGCTATAGGTGGTGGGAGCGGCATGAGTGAAGGAGTCAGGCACACGGTCCAGTCTGGAGTCGGGGGGTGGGAGAAAGTGCTGGAAAGGTAGGCTGGAGCCCTCTAAAGTACCAGGTGCAGGAAGTGAAGTTGGAAGCAGAACACGGTAGGCAATCAGTCAGCATTTGATGACTTAGAGTAGAGGACTGTTTATTGTAGTTCCATGTGTGAATCTTCTGGCTGGACTGTGAATTCTTTGAGGGCAGGGATTGTTGTCTTGTTCAACTTCATGGCGCTAGCACCTTCCTAAATCAGTGCCTCACGCATTCTGTGACTATTTACTGACCGAAGGTGCTGGGGGAGCAGTGCTGTGTCGTTGGGAAGGGTAATCTAGCAGCTACGGCTCAGTTTGAGTATGGCAAAATGTGTCAGATAGCAGCCCAAACTGACGGATGCTGTTAATGTGAAGTGAGGTGTCCGGGGTGTGAACTACTGTACCTGGGTGGCTGTTCCCCCCTTGGTCAGTGATTCAGTGACAGGCCAGTAGGTACCAGGAGAACTCTGGCATGGTTGACCTGAAGGAGGCTTAAATTGAAGGACAGATTAAACATAGCCTTTTACCTGTCTGTGATGTGATGACACGGAGACCTCAGTCCAAAGTGATGCGGAATGAGTTATGAATGGTGATGTGGTTCCTGTGACTTCTCTGGGCTCCGTTCCTTCCTGGCACATAGAGCAGAGGTGGTCCTGGAAGTTTGTCATTGAGTCCATCCATCCATTTATTCATGTGTTCATCGATTCAGTATGCCAGCAGGACCTACCAGTTTTTAGTATTAAAAAAAAGAGGTTGCAAAACCCTGTCATCCTATTTTTATTTTGAAATATACACATCCATTTTTAAAGGCTAGAATGCAAGAGCAAGTTATTAATATAACTTTTTTGTTTGTTTTTCTGGTGTCATCCCCCCCCCCCGCCCCGCTGTTATTTTGCAATCAACGTGTTACTTTTTGTAGTAAAAAGGATACGCTTGTAAGGACAGTGTCAAGTTGTCAGGCTAAGCACTTTACCGAGAGAGTCATTTGGGACCCATTGATCTTAAGAACTAACCACATTTAGTGCCGAAGGTCCAGCATTTGATCCTCTAAGTGGCCAAATCCAAGAAGCTCTACCCTTTACCGCGGTGGCTAACGCGCAGATCTGTGTCACCGCCAGGGCCGTCACCGTACACGTCCCCGTGCCCTCAGCAGGCGTTGTCGACATCCCCATCATGGAGAAGGAGGTGCAAGGCCAGCAGCAGCACCGCAAGGTGGGTGGGCTGCCTCCTGGAGGGGTGGGTTTTCTGCTCTTCCTTTGGAGTCACATCGGATGTCTCTGGCTTCAGATGACGCTGTCCCCAAGCTACCGCATGGACAACGGGAAAATGGTCAAAGTGCGTAGCAGCCGGAATGCACACATTGCTGTGACTCAGTACCGGGTGCTAAGCAGCACTCTGTCCTCCGCCCTCTTGGAGCTCCAGCCTGTTACCGGTGAGATGGCCACCGGCCTGCAGTGGGGTGCCAGAAGCCTGGTACTCCCCAGCTCTGTCCAGGGCCTCATGCGGGGCTCTGCCCTTGTCCTGAGCACTGGTATTTTGGGTGGGCTGGGAGTGCAGTTGACTTGTTTTGAGAGTGTTTCTGGTGTTAATCCAAGACTGGAGGTGCCAACAGGGACAACCGTTAAAAACAGGTAGCAGAAGAATACGAACAGTTTGATCACATTTATTTAAAAATGTGCAAAGCAATACTCTTTACCATTATCATTATATAAAGTCATGGCATTAATAGAGACCAAGTTTAGGATAACGGTTATCGATGGTGGAAAGACAGAATGTGGCGGGGGCGGGTGCTTAGGAGCCTTTGACAGAATAATGTTCATTTCTTAAGCTAGGTGGTGGTGCTACATAGCTTGTAGTTTGTTATGTTATTCTTTATGCCGTACTGTGTCTGGGGTTTTTCCACTTTATTATGCTTCGATGTAATATGACCAGAAGCAGATATCAGCGGCGGTGTTGTTTCTGTGGCTCCTCATAAATGTTCTTTTCCTTTGATTTTTGTTTGTTTTAGGGGTCAAACATCAGCTTCGAGTTCACCTGTCTTTCGGATTAGACTGTCCAGTCCTCGGTGACCACAAGTACTCAGACTGGAATAGGTTGGCCCCCCAGGTAATATTGGTTTGTTCCAACAGGCAACAAAACAAGAGGGGGAGCTTTGGGGGTTTTGTTAAGACCGCGAAGTGGTTCTTCAGACAGGCTAACCGAATTGGTTATCTAGCTTCTGGAGAAATGCGGAAGCAGCTGGTCACCGTTTCCCTGGAACTGTGGGATCTGTTAGGAAAACCTCAGTACTTCGTTTGTTGGGGACTGTGGCAGTGGGGGGAGGCTTTCTAAGGGCTAAAATCAGCCTTTCACGCTACTTCTAACAAACCACGGTGGAATCTGCTTCATCCATTGGTTTGGTTATAGCGCCTTCTCCTGGAAAGCCAGAGCACTGGCCTGTGAGACCCTTCCTGGTGTGGTAGTTTTCCTCTTATCTGGCCTCTGAACCCTAGATATGCCCTAAAGGGGGGTAGCCATTGCTGTATCTTCCAGGGCACCACCCCCATCAGTGGAAGTCTTCTGACCCTGCATGTTGGTCAAGGATGAACCGTTGGCATTGCTCTCAAGGGTCCATCTTTTCTCTGTGTAGAAGCTGTCTGCTGGCACCCTGAAGAAGCTGGGGCTGCCGCAGTCCAAGGCGCGCCACATCCCTCTTCACCTGCATGCCCGGCAGCTGATCCTGCCTGCCCTGGGGCCCGGGAAGGAGGACCTCAGCTTGGTCTGCAAGCTCCCTCACTTCTTTGTGCGTTCCCTGAGCCGCCTGGGCTTAGAGATGCCCAGTCAGGATCACACAGGAGGTGACGAAGCAGGCCACCTGGGAGCACAGTGAAGATGTCAGGCGGTTCGGCTCCTGAACTCTTCGTTTTCCATAATGGAGACGAAGATGCCGTTGGTAACTCTGCTAACTTCTCCCGAGGACCAGCCTCCAGAAGAGCCGGCTGTGATGAGTTGAAGAAACTTGCGTCAGGGCTTATAATGGAGAATTGAGTTCTCTTTACTGATGGTTTGTCCAAGCTGTGGGAGAGTCTGAGAAGTCTCCTACCTCAGGGTCTCCAAAAAGAACACAGAACTGGGCAGATTGGGTCAATAATGGGAAAAGAATGAGAACTAAAGGACGGAATCCACAGTTGGGAACTGTGTTCATCCAGTAGTAGAGCTTTGATCTATCAGGAAGGTTCTCAGTGTTGGAAAGACCAACACTGGGTGGGTACACACGTCATGGGTTCCAGGGATTCTGTCTAGCTCTAGCTGGGCCCTTACTGCACTGGATGCTGTGAAGCCTGTGACGGGGGCGTTTGGGGAGGGGTTGAGTGGGGGAATTTGCATAAGCAGAAAAGCAGATGTAAATGGATATAAAGGGCAGGCAGACAACGTAAATGAGTCAAGTCAGCAGGGTATAAGACACTGGGGGGGACAAAAACTAGAGAGCTCGTGCTGTCTAAAGAGGGCGATTGTTAGCTCCAACTGGGGATTGCCACGTGGATTTGCTAGTTACCAGAGAATCAGGGGACCTAGCTCTCCATGTGAAATCTCCCAGGATATTGCCAGCTAAATCAAATTAAAAAAAAAAACAACTTAGGCAACCAAGCAGACCTTATTTGCAGGTCAGATTTGGTCTGTAGGACCCCAGTGATGCAGACATTTGGGGAAAGGTGCCATCTTTTGGATCAGGGGTTGGCATTTTAGCTACATGTAGTCATCTCTCTTTTTTAGACTGGAGAATGGCTTTTGAAGGTCAGTAAATGGAAATGTGTGGTTATAAGGGTGTTGCCTTTGTTTTTTTTTTTTTAATTGTAAGTATATATAAAACACAAAACATTTGCCACTTCAACGAGAGGTTGCTATTGTCTTCATCTTTGTTTGGAAACAAGGCTCCTGAAAAAAAGGCATGGCAGCCGTAGCATCTGACCTCCTCTGACTTCCCAAGGCGGAAGGAGAATCAAGATCAACAGCCCAAAGCTGATTCCTGTGAGGCGGAGGGCAGACAGGCCTCCTCTCTCCACCGTCTTTACCAATTCTGACACCAACCATCCCTCTCACAGCTCTCTCTACTCCTCTGCTGAGTTCGACAATTCATTGCAGTGGCCACGCAGAACTCACAGACCGTACTCAAGATTATGCACCGTCTCCTGCCAGTCTCTCCTGCCATCGTTTCTCTGCCACCGCTTCTTGCTGTCTTCAGTGTCCTAGCTCTCTCTCTCTCTGTCTTCTTGCTGTCTTCAGTGTCCTAGCTCTCTCTCTCTGTCTTCTTGCTGTCTTCAGTGTCCTAGCTCTCTTTCTCTCTCTGTCTTCTTGCTGTCTTCAGTGTCCTAGCTCTCTCTCTCTCTCTGTCTTCTTGCTGTCTTCAGTGTCCTAGCTCTCTCTCTCTCTCGTCTTCTTGCTGTCTTCAGTGTCCTAGCTCTCTCTCTCTTTCTGTCTTCTTGCTGTCTTCAGTGTCATAGCTCTCTCTCTCTTTCTCAGTCTTCTTGCTGTCTTCATTCTTACCACCTCTCTCTTTTTCTCTTGGTCTTCTGATTCCAGGAGCTTCTCAGCTCAGGGGTCTCGGATCCAAAGGATACGCTCTACTCCTGGTTCTTCTTTCTTGGTGGTGGTGAGATCCTCTTTCCCGCCTCTGGGATGGCTCGTTTTAAGCCTAGCAGGATAGCAATACTGACCAGTCCCCTTGGTGGGCCACAAGCACCTTATTTGCACAGTCCCACCCAGTCAGTTGAGTGAGAGTTGAAGACAGTGACAAGAAAGGCCACCTGAAAGCTATCCATCGCATTGCAGCTCCTGTTCTTGGGTCTCAGGAAGGAGACGGCCATGTTGAACACAACTCGGGCTGAAAATGACCTTGCCTTCCTGTTCAGTTGGCCCAGCTTGCTCCCATCTTGTTTCTTGTAAACAAATACTCCTCACATTCCTTTGGGCTGAGGTGAAGAATGTTGGAGTGGCAGCACCACCAGGGAAGCCCTGGGGCAGCCTTTATATGCTCTCTGTATTGATAATGAGGAGCCCTGGTGGCACAATGGTTAAGGGCTTGGCTGCTAACTGGAAGGTCAGCGATTCTAACCCACCAGCCGCTCTCTGGAGAAAGATGTGGCAGTCGGCTTCCGTAAAGATGTACAGCCTTGGAAACCCTATGGGGTAGTTCTACCCTGTCCTAAAGAGTTGCTGTGAGTCAGAATCAACTCGATGTCAGTGTGTTTGGTTCTGCGTATTGATAACACATCTTTCCAACCCCGTCTCTTTTTCTGATGCCTATTACCATAGTGCATAATGGGTTTAAGCCCAGGCGAGATAACTATTTATAAAAGACCTGAATATGTTTTGACTGTTCCTATTTCTAGTAAACCCTGCTTCTCAAGATGAAGGTACAAGAATGTGACACTTAGGAAGTATTGGTCAATACTGACTTTGATTCCAGGAGACAGACAGTAGCTCCCACAAAGATGGAGAGTTGTACTTGGCGTGCAGTGATGGGAGGACAAGTTAGGATCGGAAAACGTAGAAAAGGAGCAAGTAAGGACACATTTAGAGAAGTGACATGTGGTTTGTCTCTACATTTATTCTGTTTGGTCTCCTCTCTGTTAAGGATCTGTATTTTTTAATTTGGCAAACAGTGAGTATGTACCAGGTTGAAAGGATGTGGGGTGTTCACTTTTCTCAAGGAACTTGTCATTAGCTGGGAGAAATAGGATTAGCTGTGTGGTTTGCAAATAAAGAAGTCAGTGGGGGCAGGAATGTCATTCCGCAGGCTGCCGGGCAGAGGTGGCCTCTCAGAACTGTCCTGTGTCCTGTTAATTCTGCTTGGTGTCATCGTGACCGGCCACTGACATGCCTCATGATCTTTTTAGCTCTCCAGTGCTAGGCCCAGAAATGAGAGCTACCAGTTAGTCACAGGTGGATTTTTGAGAATTCCTAAGCTGGCCCTGGGACACGGGGTCTCCACACTGGGGACCGGGACAGATGTAGCCTCTGCTCCTCCTTCCCACACCTCGTTGAGGCCAGTGTCAGCATCTCCATACCCCTCAAAGGACTGGGGGGCTGGCAGAGAGAGCCATTCAATTTTAGTTTACCAGAGTAAGCCGAAATATTTTGTATGTTGTTTAGTCAGCAGTAATAAGTACGATTTAAAAAAAAAAAAAAAGTGTTGACATTTGAAATAACCGTTTGTAAATACAAAATGTCCTTTTAAAATTCTAAGCATACACTCACTGTAACTAGTTGCCATCTGGGCGTGGTTGGCAAGGAAACTGCTTCTCACCACCGCCCCGGCATGCTTAGCGCGAAGGGAAGCCCAGGCTGGGGAAGTGGGAGGCAGCGAGGCTTAGGGAAGGTGGGAGAAGCTGGGCCCTCGCTTAGAAGGGGCTTGTGTAAGAGGTGTGGCAGGTTTGTCTGGGTCCAGATCTGGGGTTCTGGGGCCCCCAGGGACCATGGGGTCTAGGAACAGGCTGCCCTGGACATGCAGAAGGAGAAGGGCAGGCTGTGCCTCTCAAGCTAGGCCATTCATCCCGAGTTCTTCTGGGGTGGGCCACTGGCAGCAGAGGGGGGACCCAGCTCTCTGGGGTTGGAGCCTGGCAGCCGGGGTTACCAAACGCTTTCTGTAAAGGGCCAGATAGTAAACATTTCAGGCTTTGCAGGTCAGGCGGCCCTTGTCACGGCCACGTAACTCTTGTCACATGAAGGCAGCCATAGCCAGTACATAAACGAACCAGCATGGCTGTGTTCCACTAACGTTTTATTCATGGACTGTGAAATCTGAAGTTCACGTACTTTGCACATGTCACTAACTAGTATTCATCTTTTGGTTTTCTTTCAACCATTGAAAAATATAAAACCCATTCTTAGCCCATGGGCCATACAGAAACAGGCAGTGGGCTGGATTTGGCCCAAGAACTGAAGTTTGCCAACCCGTGGTCAGGTGCGGGCAGGGAGAAATCCCGGCTAACTGGAACCACCTCTAAGGGGCCCAGGTAGTAGCTCACACCCCCTGCTGGCTGCCTCGGTCCTGGCACTTGTTACAATAGGGCGACTGGGGCTGTAGGCATCACGGCCAGGCGCCCTCTACCAGGCTGAGCGAAGGAGAGCAGCCTGCAGAAACCTGCTAACATTCAGCACTGCGGGCGTGCTTGGGGCAGGGACAAGGGATGGGGAAGCTCTTCCTTTTCCTGTCTGTTTTTTCTTAGGCTTAAAACGAGGTTTGAACATTTCTCTGATCCTTCAGGATCTCAGCTGCCTGAGCATTGAGTCTTGGGGCTGTTTTTAATCTTTGAACATTAAAAGGAGTTTTGCACCAGATTGGTGTGGCCTGGGGCCGGTGAAGCTGGGATTACATAACAAGGCAGGTCGGAACATGCCTAAAATGAACTTCACCTTTTTCTGGGGGTGGGGTGGGGATGCAGAACATTTTCTTTTTTATTTTATTGTTGTACTTTAAGTGAAAGTTTACAGTTCAAGTTAGTCTCTCATACAAAAATTTAGATACATTGTTATGTGACCCTAGTTGCTCTCCCTATACTGTGACAGCACACTCCTCCTTCCTGATTTCCCGTGTCCATTCAACCAGCTCCTGACCCTCTCTGCCTTCTCATCTCGCCTCCAGACAGGAGCTGCCCATTTAGTCTCACGTATCTACTTGACCTAAGAAGCACACGCTTCATGAGTATCATTTTATGTCCCATAGTCCAGTCTAATCTTTGTCTGAAGAGCTGGCCTTGGGAATGGTTTTAGTTTTGGGCTAACAGAGAGTCTGGGGGCCGTGTCTTCCCGGGTCCCTCCAATCTCAATCAAACCCTTAAGTCTGGTATTTTTACCAGAATTTGAGTTCTGCACGCTTCTTTTCTCCTGCTCCGTCAGGGACTCTCTGTTGTGTTACCTGTCAGGGTAGTCATTGGTGGTAGCCGGGCACCATCTTGTTCTTCTGGTCTCAAGCTGATGCAGTCTCTGGTCTATGTGGCCCTTTCTGTCTCCTGGGCTAATGCTTTCCTTCTGATTTTGGTGTTCTTCTCCTTTGCTCCAGGTGGTTGGGGCCAATTGATGCATCTTAGATGGCCGCTTCCAAGCTTTTAAGACCCCAGCTGCCACTCACCAAAGTAGGATGCAGAACATTTTCTTAATGAACTTCGTTATGCCAGTTGACCTAGATGTCCCCTGAAACCATGGTCCCCAGACCCCCACCCCTGCTACTCTGTCACTCAAAGTGTTTGGTTATATTCAGGAAACTTCTTAGCTTTGGTTTAGTCCAGTTGGGCTGACTTCCCTGTAGTGTGTACTGTCCTTCCCTTCACCTAAGATAATTCTTGTTTACTATCTAGTCAGTGAATAACCTTCACCCTCCCTCCCCACCCTTGTAACTGTCAAAAACTGTTTTCTTCTGTGTTTAAACCTTTTCTTGACTTCTTATGATAGTGGTCTTATATAATATTTGTCCTTTTGTGACTGACTGAATTCACTCAGCATAATGACCTCCAGCTTTCTCCATATTATAAGATGTTTCACGGCTTCATCATTGTTCTTTATCGTTGCATAGTAGTCCACTGTGTGGATATACAATAATTTGTTTATCATTTCTTCTGTTGATAGGCACCTAGGTTGTTTACATCTTTTTGCTATCATGAACAGTACTGCAGTGAACATGGGTGTGCATGTATCTATTTGTGTGATGGCTCTTCTTTCTCTAGGATGTATTCCAAGGAGGAGGATTGCTGGATCGAATGGTATTTCTATTTCTAGGTTTTTAAGGAAGCACCAAATCGATTTCCAAAGTGGTTGTACCATTTTACATTCCCACCAACACTGTATGAGTCTTCTAGTCTCTCCACA